ACTGTTTTACTGGACATGATATTTAGAGATTTAGAGTTTTTTGTCATTTTTATTGTTTGCTTACCAAAATTTGTAATCCAACTGATTTTTACAGAGTTGTTTTGTACTTTTAATTTTTTGTTTTAAATAAAGATTTTTTGTTTTATTTAGACGTTGATATACATGTTTACATTTGCTTACCTTCTACTGTTGGAAAATATTTCCCGTCGTTGTCATACCGACAAAAACAAGAGAAAGAATGTAAACACTACAGCCCCCTAGATGCAGAGGTGACCAGGTGTATAAAATGAGTGCTGTATTAAAGATTTCCACTTCTTATACAGATATATTTTTTTAAATTGATGAAAACGACGACTGATAAGCAGTTCTAAGTGATGATATTCAAAGAGGTGTGTGTACTTGTGCCAAAAGGGCTGTATAATTATCAAGCAACGGTTTCACTGGTGTCGGTCAGTAAGTATAAAATTATTTTTTTCATAGAATTACATTTCCAAAATCAGGGTGTGTCTTCCACGATGCAGCATCTTCCAAGCCGAAAAATAAGGTAACGGAAATTTAACGGAATGGGGTGGATCGAATTAGTTCATTAAATCGAGAAAATACTGTATATTTACCTGAAAATACGAGTTGAAAAAAACATAACATCTCTCAGCTTGGTCCAGTAGCCTGATGGTTACAATGACGAACTAACCTAGCTCCAATACCATGATTAATCACTATTAAACACTATTCTATCAGTAAACACTAATAATAACAGTAAATCCAGTAAAATTTGGCAGGGAGCGAGGAGAGTTACAACTGCAGATGAAGCGCTAACTAGCAGTCACTTACTCCCATCACAAGCAAGAGGAGCACAGTTGTTAAGAGTGTAAAATGAACAAGTGCTTAACCCGGACTGAGGTGGAGTGAGTGCTCATGGCCCAGCCGCTTGGGACAAGAGAGACACCTTGCTGGACGCCATAAAACTCACGGGCTCTTCGTCCCAGCCGCGAAAAAGCTGCCAACCTAAAAACTACCTGCAGACATTCCTGGGTACATCCAGGGTGTCATCCATGAATTAAAAATCTGCATATTGTATTCTCGATTTTTAGTATGAGGACAATGGGCCGTTCCAATATGGTTTACTCACCCGTATTGGACGTGTCCACGAGTTGTTACTGGTAACCACCCTGTGACCGTCGTAAGAGTCTAGACTCAGGCACCAGTACATACTCTTGTTTGTGCTTGCAATGAACTTTCCCCACCTCCCCATCCTTGCTCCCTGGATGTTACCATGGCTGACCAAGAAGGGAACACCAGTAGGTCTCAGGTGGGAAGTGGGAAGTGGTAGGCCCTCTTGTAGGAAGGCAAGGATGAAATTTTGAAGAAACTCGAAGCTGGGATGAGGATATAAGACGTAGCACGCCATTTAAAGTCAACAAATCCACCATCAGAACCGTCAGGAAATATCGGGAGAAAATATGGTCTGCTGCCCGCACAACCCACCCGGAGATTCAGAAGTCTGTGAATGTTGTTGGGAATTCTGTGTTATGGAAGGTGGAGAAACTTCTGAGTCTGTATGTTCATTGAATTGCCAAGGAAAACATGCCGGTTTATGGAGCCAAGGTGCATTTCAAGGCTATGGCGTACTATCGTACTATGCCAAGGGGATACAGCATCTCTACAACCAGGATGATGCCCCAAGATTCAAGGCATCTAAGGTGGTGGCTGAAGCTGTTCAAGAAATGCCACAACCTTCACAAATGGAGCCTTACCGAAGAGAGTGCCAGTGCAGACAGCAGAGCAGCAAGCAGGTATTCATCATACTTTCAGAAGCATGTGTCCGATGGCGGCTACAGTCCTCAGTACAACTGCGACGACAGTGGCCTCTTATGGTGTAGCCTGGTCACCCATGCCTGTTGCTGGACAGCCATCCCATCTTGAGAGTCGAGTTTCTTCCCTCCATGCTCCAACCATTGGACTGAGAAGTCATATGTAACGTGAAGGAGCCGTACTACCACAAGACTTTTGAACAACTACATCAAGTCACCGATATTTCTGAGGAACTGCAAACAGTTTTTGGAAGGAGTTCAGTGTGCAAACTGCAGTTAATAACTTGGTTGGAACATGGAGGAGACACCGGTAGTTATGTTGAAAGATGCGGGGCAAAAGCTGCTGCCTGTGGTGGGTGTGGTGACCGACACTCATGTGTTAGTAGAGAATGTGGCGTGTGTGGTGATAACGAGGCAGGTAGCATCTCCAGGCTTTAGCGAGGTGAATTCGGACGATGTGATGGAAGTTATCAAAGTAACAGGGGAATCCACTTCACTAAACGACATGCTACAAGAGATGGAAGACGAGAAGAGTGAGTTTGAAGAGGTGTTTCAAGAGGTGGAAGGAAGTGTTGGTGGTGTAGCGGTACGAGAGCAGAACAAGGGAGGCATGACCCAGCAGCAGGTAATGCAAGCTCTCAGCAAGGTTGAAGAACTCAAGGATGCTTTAGTGTGTGATGAGCCCAGCCTACATCACAGTGATACACTCAGTGCACAGTTAAACAGTTTAGTGGAATCCTACAGGCAACGTTAACAATTGTTTATTAAACGCTGCCACCAAGCTCTCACCACTGCCTATTTTATGCCTCAACAATGTGATGAGGATCAAGAAGACTCAAGTGACGATAACCCTGCCACTCTGGTGATTGGTGATGAAGCTGAAGTTGCTTTACAAGTGTCTGCAGTTGACTTTGAAGACTTTGAATCTGACTAGCCTTCACCCCCTGCCTCAGACCCCCCATCATCTCCCAGAGCTTCCCACACCTCCACTATTCAGTGAGTACAGTATCACATAATTAAATTCCTGAGCTGTCTTAAAGTATTTATTTAATAATGTAGATGCAGTTTATGTGACATTATGTGTCATTTTTGGAAGGTTAAGTTAGTTAGCTAAAATCATTCTAGAGTGGTGGTCACCAACCTTTTTAGCTCAAGATCACTTCCCAAGCCAAAGTGAAAAAGCCTGACTGTAGTTCTAAGTTTAAGTCTTTATTCCATTTTAAGATCATTAAATTCCACCTTTCAAATTGATATAACCAAGAAAACATCATTACTTGCATTTACATTTATCACTTGCAGCATGTCAAATAGGCTTTAACTTGCTAACTTTTAACAATATTGCAAGAAATTATGCTGTCAATGTTCAGTTTCACTTTTAAACCTGGACATAAATAAACTAAAATGTATTTTCCATTTGTAGCAGAACTCAAAATGTTTTGTACAAAAAATCTAATTATTTTAACACACCTTTACATGCATACAGTAATTATACTCTCAATGCCCAGTTTCATTTTTCAATTCAGACACACAATTAACAAAAAAATATTTTCCATTTGTAACAGATCTCAAAATATTTTGTACAAGAAATTAAATGATTTTAACACACTTTTGACATTTGTACTGTAAGTAATGTACAGATCAAATGAACATTATGAATTGCCAGTGTAACATTTGAGTTACTAAGTGCAATTTCATTGTACCATTTAAGAGGATGACAGAATCCACAGAACTGTAATGTATGCTACAGTATTCTCATTCAGTGCAATTAAGATCAGTGCAATTTTTTTTGTGAATTAAGACTCCTATCAAGAAAAACTTTCACATTGACATCAGAAGTCAAAACTAGCAATACTCAAATTAATGTGATAGCTGTGACTGAATATTATCTGCCACTGCTTTGTAGTTTAGCTCATACCTGGACACAGCCAGTCTGAGACTAGTCTGTGAGGTGTCTGTCAGTGAGGTGGCCCCTGTACTGTTCTTGATTTGATTATTTTCATCTGTGAAAAAGCGATCTCACAGAGACAGCTGGATCCAAAGTAGGCTTTTACTCTCAGTGCATATGAAGAGAGGAGAGTAAACTTCACTGCTGACAAGTCCCCAAAAGTCAATGTCCCTTGACCTGGCTTTCAACTCAATGTCATTCTGCAAATCAACCATCTCCATGTCAACTCCATTTGAGAAAGCAAATACTTACTGAAATTTTGCAGCTACCTTCTCTATATCGATAGACAGGAAAGGGCTTGAGATGAATGCAACAACCTCCTCCATCTCATTCAACTCCTGAATACACTGGTTTAACTTTGCTGTCACTTTATCTAGGTCAGCACAGTACTGCTCAGGGTTAAAAACATCCTTGTCTGCAATGATCTGTGACATGTTCTACAGGTTGGTGAAGTGTGTGAAAACTGTCTTGAGAACTACTTGGAAAGTCTCAAAGATCGACCAGTCAATCGCGATCGACCGGTTGGCAACAACATTTATAGAGTAAAGGTCAGGTGAGTCCAGTATATTATAATGAATTTAACACATGTTAAAGGGTATCACTTGCGCGGATTTCCAATGCGTGGACTGTTCGTGTTCTGGGTATCAAATACTATCTACAGGAGCGAACACAAACACCTGGATAGTTTTATAGGTTCTATTCACTGGATAAGAGATATGTACACAAGGGAAGTAGCGCTCCTTACTCTGTCCGGTGGTCAACTGCTCTCTAGGCGACGTATGGTAAGTGATACATTAACAGCTTCCATATGTCGCCAGGCACCTTAATTAAGCATGTGGGACATGGTAAATACATTGCCACATGCTACTAGCTAGGCTGAATAAATAATGTATATAAATGGAGCACATACATAATATACATACATAATATACATACATATACATACATGGACGTGTAACAGTACGATATATCCATTCAAAATTAGACCCCACTGTACTTAATTACACTACATTTCACTTCCTTGGCCATCATTCTTTGCATCTTCTCTCCTCAACGATTTTTAATTTTCCCTCTACTCTTAATAACAAGTTCTTCTATAAATCAAAATTTTATCTATTTCTAACAGTCTATCCTTCTGTTGTGTACACAATTCTTTAAACTTCAGATTGAAACTCTAGAAAACTTCTAAACTTATTACAGTTCAATACTACAATAAATAATCAACAAGAGGAGTCTTCACTTACATGATGTGGAAGCTTATAATTGCTATCAAAATTCAAAGCTCCCAAGTATGCAACAACTTGCAGTGGATCATCAAACATAGACTTCAAGGAGAGTTTTGCCTTACTAGAAGTCTTCCATTCAATGAGCACTGGTGTTCCTCTGCAATTATAGAACAACATTATAACTGGTAATAAAGAAAGGATTATAGTATGATGCAGAATCCCAATTTATGTCTAACACTTGGGAGCTCAAATATTGCACCATCCAAGGATTTTGGCGTTAGGATAAGACCTATGAATCTCTAAAACTAGCATTACTCGGATTAATCTTTTAATTAGCTTATCTTCCCCTCACAAGCAAGGCCACAAATGAAATGGAGATTGCTCTCAAAGGCATTAAATGGCACTGAAAATAGTGAGTCATGACATCACAATGGCATGCAACTTATTACGTCAAATGAGTCAGCCATCTTGGAAGGTTTCCTGCAAGCCCTAATCAATTCTTGCCCCATCACCACCCAGTATGGTTGTTAAGTTTTGGACTGGTGCAGCACAATTCTTAACTTTAGTGTCAACACACAGGATTTTCCAAAAATATATCACATAGCAAGTGTGTTTACATTTGTTTAATGGACCAGGTTAAGATTTAATGGTGTTCCAGGCATAAAACCTAAGGATATTATGGCAACAGATATTCCCTGGTGATAACCTCAGCCTATTTTAATAAAGTATTTCTACTGCATGTGAATATCTAGTCTCAAGGCAGGGGATACCTGTACTATGATAGTACTGTACTTAACAGTGTTTTGTTCCTTGTCCCAAAAGTCTGAGTTACAGGCTGGGTGTACTGTAGGTCAGTGCTACACACCCAGGGTGTACTGTAGGTCAGTGCTACACACCCAGGCTGTACTGTAGGTCAGTGATACACACCCAGGCTGTACTGTAGGTCAGTGGTACACACCCAGGCTGTACTGTAGGTCAGTGCTACACACCCAGGGTGTACTGTAGGCCAGTGCTACACACCCAGGCTGTACTGTAGGTCAGTGCTACACACAGAGGGTGTACTGTAGGTCAGTGCTACACACCCAGGGTGTACTGTAGGTCAGTGCTACACACCCAGGCTGTACTGTAGGTCAGTGCTACACACCCAGGCTGTACTGTAGGTCAGTGCTACACACCCAGGCTGTACTGTAGGTCAGTGCTACACACCCAGGCTGTACTGTAGGTCAGTGCTACACACCCAGGCTGTACTGTAGGTCAGTGCTACACACCCAGGCTGTACTGTAGGTCAGTGCTACACACCCAGGCTGTACTGTAGGTCAGTGCTACACACCCAGGGTGTACTGTAGGTCAGTGGTACACACCCAGGGTGTACTGTAGGTCAGTGCTACACACCCAGGGTGTACTGTAGGTCAGTGCTACACACCCAGGGTGTACTGTAGGTCAGTGCCACACACCCAGGGGGTGTACTGTAGGCTTGCAAAAGCACACACACCCAGGCTGTACTGTAGGCTTACTAAAAGCACACACCCAGGTGTACTGTGTCAGTGCTATAATCGTGTGTACTTGTAGGGCCAGTGCCATACATCCAGGCTGCCAGCCTGTAGGTCAGTGCACACCCCAGTGGCTGTACTGTAGGTTTGGGTGCTACAGCACCCAGGGTGGTACTGTAGGCTAAAGTACACACCCAGGTTGTACAGGTCAGCAGCCACTCACAGTCTGTACTGTAGGTTTTATGTTACGTTCCAAATGGGTATTGCAGGTTTATGCTACACACCCAGGCTGTACTGTAGGTCAAAGTGCCACACCCAGGTGTACTTGCAGTCAGTGCCAGCACACTCAGTCTGTACTGTTGTAGGTCAGTGGGTATACACCCAGGCTGTCAGTGCCATACACCCAGGCTGTACTGTAGGCTGCCAGTGCTACACACCCAGGCTGTACTGTAGGTCAGTGATAGGGTTGAAGCACTGTGCAAGTCAGGCTGTGGGTACACACCTCAGGGTGTACTGGTGGTCATGCTACACACTCAGTCTGTACTGTAGGTCAGTGGGCACACCCAGGCTGTACTGTAGGTCACTGGAAGCACACCCAGGCTGTACTGTAGGTCAAGCACACAACCTGTGGTGTACTGTAGGTCAAAAAGCAAGTGGCACCCAGCTGCACTGAGTTGGGTGCTACACACCCAGGCTGTACTGTAGGTCAGTGCTACACACCCAGGGTGTACTGTAGGTCAGTGCTACACACCCAGGGTGTACTGTAGGTCAGTGCTACACACCCAGGGTGTACTGTAAGTCAGTGCTACACACCCAGTCTGTACTGTAGGTCAGTGCTACACACCCAGGGTGTAGCCAAATCAATTCATTTTAAATTAGAAATTATAAAGTAAAATGTTATAAGACAATGGTTTAGTAGTGCTGTTAATGTGTGTGCTGTGTAAGTGTCTTGGCATGTCACCTCACCACCTGATTTCGTCACCTAGCCACCTGACTCCTTCACCTCACCACCTGACTTCGTCACCTCACCACCAGATTTCGTCACCTAACCACCTGACTTTGTCATCTCACCCTTTGCCTCGTTAGCTCAGCTCGGAAATACATTGATTTATTACTGTATTATTTTACTTTTTAGTATTGTATGTACATTTAAAGAAATATTTATGTTTGTGCAGTAAATATAAATAGACCCAGAGCAGAAAAATCCAGCGTTACCCAGGTGGATGGTCTTCCCACCCACGCACCAACCATGTGAGGATGCTGCTAAACATGGTGCAGCCTTTTAAAACGCTGGGAACCTTTGTCCCAGGCCCTGAACAGAAAAGTTTAGAGTGATTTTATTGCAATTTTCTCAGATTTTCTGGTAATTACACATTATTTCATAATCGATATTTGCTGCCAGACCCAGAAATAAACATTTGGACAGATTTTTCAGATTTTTTTTAATTTTCAGAAAATGCTCCTGATTTTCAATCGTGGAATTTGTTCCCAAGCCCGGAATTTAGGTAAATTTCTGGAAAAATTCCGAACAAATTTCATTCCAGCTATTGGAGACTCCTGGGTTTGGGGGGTTCTGGCTAATGGAGATATTACTGTACTATGTAAGAAACTGGCACTGTTGGAAGTGGTGTCTGAAGAAGAGTATCCTGATACTGAAGGTATCACTTAGGAGGCTTCACTGCTGGAGGAAGGTAGATTGGTTCTTGGGTCCCTTGACACAGGTTTAAAGAGGTCAGATATTTTCCCTTGCTTGAAGTTGGTGTGCTGACGTTTTATGACATCTACCCTGAAGTCTCTAAGAGCTGAATACTGTAGTGTTTAAATAGGTCAGGCAACTGCCCCATTACCTCCAAGGCCTTGTCTACATAAACTCTGAGATCACATACCGTATATGGCGGCGTATAAGTCAACCTTTGAAGCCAAGTTTTTAGTGTCCAAAGTTAGGGGGTCGACTTATACGATGGGTATAAAATGATGACCTCTAAAATCATGACCGTAAGTGAGAGTATTTAGTATTACAACCTTCATATTTACCTTTAATATAATAGCTGTGTGTGGACTGTGGTGGAATGAGCAGGAAGTCAACTGAGTTCAGTGCTGTTGTGATTGTTGGGTCAGTCACTAATGACGTTGTGTGTGACGTCTTGTATAGAGTGGCTTGTTTGACTGTTTACCTGTTTATGTATGTGTTGATGGTTGACTTGGTCCTTCACAACACTTGACAGCTGCTGGAGTTGGGGAGTCGACTTATACAGTAGGCATATACGGTAGCTTAGGCCGTGGACTGAGATCTTCGTTATCACATTTGTCATCTTGTTCTTCTGTCTTTTCTTCAGAGACACTTGCAGCTAACTCCTCTGTGTCGTGATGAAATCCTTGTTCTGCATTGTCTACCTCCAGCCAATCCACAACATTGTCCTCAGACACCCCAGTTTTGCCACCTCGGTGTAACAAGTTAACAAAATCGTCAGTGTCAAACCCTGCAAAGTTGATCTTGACCTCAGTGCCTTTCAAAAGTCTGTTCTAAGCATTAGCTAGGGTAGTTACACTAAGACTTTCCCATGCTTCTGCCCAGTTAAACACTGCATTACGGAAGTTTTTAGGTTTGGTAATTTTCAAAAGTGCGAGCTCCCATAGTATGTCACCCTCGTCCTCCAACACCACAAGACATTCTCCCTGGTACAGTAGTAATTGTACCTGTAGTGTCACTTGCAGGCCTCTATCACTCCCTGGTCCATTGGCTGTATTAAGGAGGTGGTGTTGGGAGGAAGATACAAGACCTTGATACGACCACCATGTCCCACAAGCTCCTCCAGGCAGGATGTGCAGGGGCATTGTCAAGGAGCAGGATGGCCTTCACATTATCCCTCGAAATACCCAGCACCTCCGTCTGATACTTGATGACAACAGGTACACAGTGGCCGTGAAACCAGGTGTGGAAGATGTCGCGAGTGGACCAGGCAGTCTTATTCCCTTTGTAGATCACTGGAAAGCTGCTCATGATGTTTTTTAAAGCCTGGGGCTCGTTTGCCTTTCCCACAACCTTTGGTTTCAGCCGGTGGGTGCGGTAAACATTGGCACAGACAAGAATCGAGACTCGATCCTTTGTCATCTTCCTGCCAGCTACGTGTGTCTTGTGTCTGTAAGCCTGGGTGTTGGATGGTGGAGCCTCCATAAAAAGCCTGTTTCGTCATTGTTATATATCTAACTGACCAATAACTGAGCGTCATAATAATTTTCACAAGACACTTCCTGAAAGGTTCAACACTTCCTTCCTCAGTACTGGCAGACTGGCCACCAACTTTTCGGTTTACCAAGCAATGATGGCTTCTAAAATCGAAAAGTCAACCAGCACTTGTGTTGAGGCCTTGTATCTTGAGGTGTTGTGCTAAGCGAGCTGCAGCATTTTGAATGTTCAGGCCGTGTACACTGATGCCAGATGCACATTCTTCCTTGTACTACTTGTACACAGCTTGATCTAAGTTACTAAACTTTGCAGGTTTAATTCTTTTCTGTACTTTTTTTTTTGAGCTGCCAGGGTCTTCTCAACTTACAGAGTTCTTTCCAATTTTGTCCGAAGTCGCCTTATCTTGCGATTCTTCACCCGTTTGTTTGATTTGAACTCATAGTTGACTCAGCTTGTTTGGAGTACAGTAGAGCTACTGTACTATGCTCTTTTAGTTTTCATAATTATCATATTCAGGACTGCGCAGGGTCACCTTTGATCAATGTGTGATTGACCCGTCTAACAGACAGTAATGGTTATATAAATGTGAGCTACATACATTATGTTTATATACTTAATACACCCATGGTAACTGAACTATGAGGAAGTGTCTAGTAAACACTTTCCAATACTGAAGCAAGTGATGTATATCACATAACCTCATTGTCTTTCAAATGACCTCTGCGCACCACTCTAAGCCGGGTCATCAGTTTATCCACTGGCGACTTCAGTCACCTCAGGCCTCTCAAACACACCACATGTGTGTTCACAAAGTTCGCTACAACTCGCTTCTACGGTAATCTTTTAACACTCATGGCTCATAGTGTTAATTACAGTGATATCCTAAGTGTTTTGTGCATTTATTTTCTTAATAAATGGAGCAAAGACCATTTGGGTTTGCAAACTTAACCCAAAAATATTTATTGTTGTAACTTCTAATTTACCTAACTTGCTGAAACTCCAGGAAAAATCATCAGTGATTACAATAGGTAAACAGAGGTAACATGTGTCAAGAAAGCTGTTACCCTGGATGTAAAGCTAAGCATTTATGACAGCTTGATAAGGCGAGACAGACAATCATACTGCTGCTCCATCTCCTTCCCATTAACGCCCATTCCACCACCTAACATGCACTACAACCACATTATGTCTATTCAAAACAATGGGTCCAACATTTTTAGCCATCATGTTCATACCTGTAAGAACCAACACAGTCAACAGCTCCCTGGTAATAGAGATACGGGTGGATGAGGCGACTCTCTAACACCGTTACATCAGACACATTTGGTAAAACTTGCTTGAGACTCGTCCAAAGACCTCCTAAGCTTGGCATTTCTTCTACAGATGGGGTCACTCCACTAAGTTCTGACTGTATGCAACCATGCAGCAACATCCCACGGTCTAATAAACCTGTATAAAAGATAAATATGTTAAGGTTTGTCTCATCTACATGACTATATTGTCTCTATTTAAAAAAAAAAAAAAAAAAATGCTGGTTATGATTAAAAACCAATTCAAATAATCTTTGTATCACTAGCTGTCCTCATATGAACACATGTCATATTTCCTGTTCTTTACAGTATTTCTAATTAAATCTCTTACTCTGTTTGTCTGTTGACTCGCACTACTGTATACATGAACAGTAAGTTACAAGACAAGAGAATGAAAAGTTAGGATTTGTATTTTTCCAAGGAATGAAGCATCGTGAACCCTCAAAGATAAGGACTAAAAGGTTGGACCACCTGTCTGAAAAAGCCGATAATCCATATCTTCTGGTGAATGAACTAAATGTATAAAAATGACAAATAATGATATAAAAAACACCAAAAATACAGTACGTACCATATTTTATGGTATATAGGACACACACCCCCTTTTAGCAGGGAGTATTTAGGAAAAAACTTTTGTGTGTATTTCCTTCCTGTAGCCGTATTTTTCTTAAAATAATATAGACAGTACTAGTAAATGTAGGGAATAAGTAAAAATAATACCGATAAATAAGTTACAACAAAAAATACTGTACAGGAGTCCCCGGGTTACAAATGAGTTCCGTTCCTGAGGACGTTCTTAAGTCGGAAATGTATGTAAGTCAGAACACGTACCCTATGTGCTCTATATCATAGCCTAAGTCCTTTTATACATCTTGAATCACTTAATTTAACAGAAAAGAGGTAACTGAATGACAAAATAGAGTAAAGGATACTAAAAATTAAGGTTTAACACTTTCATTGAAACCTGGGACTGGCTTGCATGTTGAGATGGAAATTTGTAGGAGTGACAGAGGCTTTATTGGGATGGTTGAACTAAAACTTTCTTCTTTCCATCATAAATCTGTCCATAGCATTGTGAAAATTCAATAATACAGGTACAGTCGACCCTCGTTAATTCGGACTAATAGGGGGGGAAGGGTGTCCGTTTTAGCCGATTGTCCGAATTAACCGATTTAGGGGTTAATATTGCATTATATTTCAAAGTCATTGTTTTCGTCACGATTTTATCCCAGTTTCCACTGTAATACGTATGTAATTTCAGCAAAAATATTACATTTCCGTGAATGTATTATCTCAAGCACAGTATGAATACAATATCATTGTAATATAACAGAATTTTAACCGAAAACTATTAAAAAAACGAGTAACATCTCAAGAACATCGGAAGCTTAAGTAAAGTCTTTTGTTTTCGTTATGTATTCTATCCTATTTTACATTGAAATACATCACGTTTCAGCAAAACTACTATTTATTTCCGAGAATATATTCATTCAGGCACAGTTTAGGTAAAATATACGTGTGATGTAACAGTTTTTTGACTGAAAACGATTCAAAAAACACGTACCCTCTAGCCCTGTTCAAGGAGAGGACTGGGAGAAGCTGTTTGGTGCTGCAGACGATGACAAGGAAAATGATTTGGATGGATTTTAATGAAAATATTCCGAAATATGGCATTGTAGTATTTATTCAAGTCAATTAGGATAGAATATTATTGTAATACAACAGTTTTTTAACTGAAAACGAATCGAAAAGCGATTATGGTAACATCTTTTGAACGAAAGAAAGCGAAAGTCATTGTTTTCGTCACGATTTTATCCCACTTTCCACTGTAATACGTACGTCATTTTAGCAAAAATATTACATTTCCGTGAATGTAGTATATCAAGCACAGTATGAATAGAATACCAGTGTAATATAACAGTATTTTAACCAAGAACTATTAAAAAAACGAGTAACTTCTCTTGAACATCGGAAGGTTAGGTAAAATCTTTTGTTTTCGTCATGTATTTTATCCTATTTTACATTAAAATACATCATGTTTCAGCAAAACTACTATTTATTTCCGAGAATATATTCATTCAGGCACAGTTAAGGTAAAATATATATGTGATGCAACAGTTTTTTAACTGAAAACGATTCGAAAAACACGTGTACCGTCTAGCTGATACACAACAGCTGGTGGTGCGTCATGCGTCGTTGCAAACAATGGGAGTTTGAAGTAGATTACCGGGTATTATATTAAGTGTGAAATATCGAAAAGGTTTTTATTACCGGTATTTTTTGTAGATCAATGAGAACTGTGATACCGTATGTGATATGATAAGTTAGCCTGTGCTAAGAACTTCAACATAGACTACTGAAAACACGTTGTAAGGTAATTTAGCCTATTGTAAGTTGGTGAGCTTCATTTGCTGAAGAAACTGCACAACTTTTCATTACTAATTGGTACATATTTTACGTTTCCATTGTTTACTGGCAGTAAATGGTAAATATTTTTCATTTCTGAAGCTAAAAGTTGCATCCCCCCCCTACACTAGTGGTGGAGATGTTACATTTAACATTTTGTCCAAATTATCCGAAATCCGGATTAAAGGGGTCCGAATTAACGAGGGTCGATTGTACTTCTATAAATCCCGGTGAATCTTTCTGTGTTGGTATGTTGCTGCCTTCTTCAATAAGCCCAAAACCATCTGCCATTTCTTTTGTAATGAATCCCTTTGATTCTGGAGTTTGAGCTTCCTCTACATCCTCTGACAAAATTTCCTTCTCCAGTTCAATCAGATCCCGACTGCTTACTTCTTCAGCATGAGACTCGGGCAACTGTGTGACATCATCCTCATGAATATCAAGCTGGAGTTGGTTCCCAAGGTCTACCACTGTCTGTGTCACTTCCCCAACATCATCTTCAGAGCCCCTGAAATCGTGGACAAACTGTGGGCAGTGTTTTTTCCAAACACCATTTGCCCTTACTTTGAACTGGTTAAACCAGCCCCTACTAACAAAAAAATCTTCCCCATCACTTTCACCACCAAATTCAGCCTTCAAGTCAGCATGAAAGCTTCTCACTTTTTCCTGAATCAAGACTAAAATTAAGAGGCAAATCCCATTTTGATCTTCCACCCATATCACTAACAATCTTTCCATTTCAATTAACAATCAACTTCTTTGTTTTGTTATCACAGTTGAGTGCAATGGTGTAGATCCTTTGACATATTCAAGAATTTTCTCTGTCTTTTAAAATTGTTCCAACCATTGAACAACTGAAACCCAACACTTTACCGATCACTGAGGGTGTTTCACCTTTTTCAGAACGTTTAATTATACATCAAATTTCACTTCCATTGTACAGTAAAACCTTGACAAATCAGACTTCAATATATCGGGGGGGGTGTTAAAAAAATCTTATGAAATGAACCACACTTACTGAATACTGTACAGTGGTCTAATCAGATTTGCCATAGGCCTACTGAGAACTAAGACACTTGAGTATGTAAGCAGGCTGGGGTTGATCAGGTGTTGCCGCATTCGTGAAGTTTATTTATTTATTGATTCAGTACAGGTTGTACCTCTCTAGTCCGGCAACCTCGGGACCTGACCAGTGCCGGACCATGGAAATTGCCGGACCATGGAAATTCACCCTTTTCCTGGATAGATAATGACTTGTGCTTATGCTTGGAAGCACTAGCAACACTTTCTCTGCATCATGGTCTCTTTGAAGGGTTAAATGTCGTATACAGTAGTAGCTTCTCAAGCTTCGCGAGTTTTTAATTCTTAACGTATTTTATTGGAACACACAAAAAAAAATAAATAAAAATTTTGACGGCGGAAACTTGAATTTCGATGGGTTTGAACGGCCCGCCAACGTGCAGACGACGTGCATAATCGTGTAAACAGCGTCATTTCTCTTATGTGCAAAAGATTCATTATTGTTTATTACTGAATGTCTTTTTTATTGAATTAATGTTTATGTGCGCAAAATGAGCAATACAATTCATTAATAATACGTAGAATATTAAAACACACGAGGAAATGACACAGCATTGTTTTCGTTGATTACAAAACCAGTGACTGACTGGTTCTACATATAAAACTGAAGAAAATAAGACCTTGGTTGTAGCTGTAGTAAAATTAATATGGTTGTAGCTGTAGCAAAATTAATATGGTTGTTTCAAGTAATGTTATTTAATGTTAATAAATGGAACAATAGAAGTAGCTAATGATAATGGTAAAGAAAAAAGAGAGATCGTGTATGTAAGTGCGCATGCGCACATGTGAAAACATATCGTCATTACTTTACATAAGAATATGAAAGCAACACTTATTTACTGTTCATATATATTTTAATTAATGTTTCTGAATTTGTTTTTATTGAATTAATGTGTGTGTGTGTGTGCAAAATTAACAATACAATTTATTAATAATTCGTGGAATATTAGAGGAGACGAGACGGCTGCCGGCATTGTTTATGTTAAAGCTTACAAAACCAGGGACTGATTGGTTCTACATATAAAACTGAAGAAAATAAGACCCTGATTTTAGCTGTAGTAAAATTAATGTAAAAAAATTAATATGGTTGTTTGAAGTACCTGTAATGTTATTTAATGCTAATAAATGGAACAATATAAGTAGCTTACCATTAATGGTAAAAAAAAAAGTGAGACTGTGCATATGTAAGTGCGCACATGTGAAAACATATCTTCATTACTCTACATAAGAATATGAAAGCAACACTTATTTACTGCTCATATATATTGAAGGGTTAAATGTTGTACTCTGTATAGACAAGCAGAGAGAGAGAGCAGCCGAACTGCCAGATGAAAACAAACCTTAATTTTCCGCAGCTGTTTTTTTTTTTTAAGGGGATTAGCCCACCCGGGCATAGGTCACTGACCGACATTGGGGCCTGAGGGGCAAAAATTTAATACTCCTGTAATAATAATAATAATTCAGATAAGTAAAAAAAAAAAAAAAAAAAAAAAGCTGCCTATCTACCTATTGGACAAACTAAAATCGTTCCGGACCACGAGAGTTTCCGGACCACAGAATGCCGGACTAGAGAGGTACAACCTGTATTATATTCTCATATGATTGTCCTCTTATGGTTCCTCATGATTAATATAACATCTTCAGTAATAGAGAAAAAATACAATACTGTACTATGTGCAATTTAAAATACAGGTACATGACTTGAAAATAAAAGGATAAGCTGTATCAGAAGGTTGTTTACTCAAGATGCATTTGTGAGAGAGCTTTTAGTAGACCAGCTTACAGCAGGGGTCACTATCACACTGTACAGTATGGTCGGGATATATAGCGTTGATACAACGTTGCTCATTTATACTTACACTCAATTTTGTGGGTAGATATCAGCTGTTCAATAGTGTGTGGCAGTGCTGCAGGCACAGTGTTATCATAGAAACTGATAGATGCATCACCTTCTCACCACTTATCACAATGTCCCTTAAAAATACTTTAGCTTTCGTCTGTATTCAAGACGTCTTCACCTCATGAGACTCACTGAACCCCCACCCAACAATGGGTGACCTGACATTGCATCAGAAGGTCAGTAATGAGACCACTAATCCCCCACCCTACCTCCACCTGACAATTGCTTCAGGACAGGTCAGGTACACGAGACCCACTAATCCCCCACAGCTCTATGGGAGTGGAAAATACCAGTCTTTGCTGTAACACACAGCTTCATTCATGCCTGTATCATCTAGCTTTTTAGTTTTTAAATAAACTTATTTCATCAAACGTTTAGATGAACTTTATTAGAACTGCTTTTACGAATTCCGGTAGTTTAGACTCTGAAAACATTCCCAAGCACCGAGAAACATTCTGAGGATGTGGGCTAGTGTCTGTCTGTGCAAGATGTGTAGTTTAGACACTAGAAAAATTTTCCCAGTAACCAGAAGAGATTCCAAGGATAAGGAATTATTCCAGATTTAAGAATGTCGTCCGGTTACTCGGATATCTCTCATCCCCAAAAGTGCCACGCACCAACTGTTCCGGCTAATGGAGAGATCACTATACTCCCACGGCCTACATGCACCATATACTGTACATGTACCTTGATTGTCTATACTGTATTCATGCTGAACTATATACTGTAACTACATAGTTTATATACTGTACTACAATTGTAAACTTGTACAACAATTTCAATGAATAAATATCATTATTGTTGTTATGGAGGGATCATACATAAGCCACTAGCCTCCTACTCTCAGACATAAATATGTGTATGTTAATAGTTTATGAAATATTTTGCTGGCTGTCTCTGATTAAACTACAGTATAGATAAAAAGTGTCTTCATTTCTTCTGATACGTAAACCTGAACTCTTACCTTTCCGATAATGGTGAAATCCCTCTTCTCCAAGTTCCTTGATCATCTTTGTTTTCCACTTCTCTAATGCTATCTTATTGGAAAGAGGCATGGTTTCTTCCAATATTTTCCTGACGCTGGGTAATTTTTTATAACCATTATCAAATATTCCAATTGTCGCAATATCTTCCTTCGCTGGTGGTTGTTTGGACACAGATGTATGCTCGCTTATGAAACTGGCTGATGTGTTTGTAGTAAACAGGGGGTAATTCTTGATCATGTTCATATCCAGAGAACCTGGCACTGCTAAAAACTTAGAATTATCAACCACAATAAAAGAAGAATTTGAATTATTTTCTGAGGCATTAACAATTAATGATTCTTCATCTTTTTGCTTCTTAGCTAAGTTTACTTGAGAATAATTGTAAATACTATTATTATCTACATTCTCTAGAACGGTGTTTTTTCCATTACTTGTATTTTCTATGGCATTCACCTCAGCTTCTCTTTCTTTGTCACTAATCCAAGAAGCAACTTTCAATTTTTGAGGTCTGGTACATGCATGTTGAAACACTTTATTACCTGTATAATTTTTCAAACTCTTAGTGTATTGTGGAGGCTTTTTAAAAATCAAGTGTTTTTTGTTGAAACTCTCTAAAGCTTTCAATGTTTTACTGTTTTGAGAGGTATACTTAATATCTTCAGGTTGGTGTAAATTTATTCTAATTCTAGATTTTCTTTGGTCATTTGCTGATGACTTAGAATTTCTACCAACAGGAAAGATGCCAAGGTAATGTGAGTTTTCTGATTTATATACAAGTGGATTTATCTTTATATTTGCATTCAATTCTTTCTTGGTTCTAAAACTTTCCTTCTCATTACAATCTTTATCATCAATATCTAGTTCTTCTCTTTTTAATCTTCTCTTCTTTTGGGCTGATGTTTCTAGGAGAGGGCCAAAAAGCACTTTATTTGTGTAGGCCAAAGTCTTTTTTATTGGTACAGGTTTATCCTCATATTTAAGTTGTTCCAGCCCTTTATAATCTGAGGACTCCCCCATAAAATACAACATTTCTGATTCACAAAAAACATTTTCTTGACTGGTGTCATCTTCAACAGTGACAACTAGATCAAGTTCATTGAAAGGGGTGTCTGAGCTACACCACCCTCTGTTAAAAATCTTGAGCTTGGGAATGTTCAGCTTTGGATGGCAGCACCACCAGGTTCTTGTATGCACAAAGTTCCTCAGCAACATTATAATCTGCAAATATTACATGTGTTAATAGCGAGATATTCTGCCGGAGATAAAGATATCTCGACATTTAATAAGTTATTTAAATGGGTAGTCATTGATAATTTGAATAAATTTACTGTAATTATTCTTAATATATTGTATTACGTAGTTATTCACACACACACATCCTCCTCCTCCTCCTGCTACTGCTACAGGTAAACCTCGAGATACAATTAGGTTACGTTCCTGAAAAACCCATCGCAAAGTGAAATATAATAGATCAGGATCATTAAAATATGGGGTTCAATGGGATATGTTCCCAGCCAGTCCCCAAACACACATGTATCACAGACAAAAAAATCCTACAATACTACTACAGTGGTCCCTCGGTTAACGAACAAAATTCGTTCCTGAAGGTCGTTCGTTAGCCAAAAATTTCGTTAACCGAAACCATTGTTTCAATGGGATTTTGGGTAATTGGTTCCAGCTCACCGAAAAATACCGGTACATACAAACTAAAAATAAATGCAGTAAAGTACACTTACTTCGAGGTGTGCATGTAGAAGGCTCCTGGTTGATGATGATGATGATGGGAATTAGAATGGAGGTGGAGGAGAAGGGAGAAGAGAAGGCATTGGGGTGGAAGAGAAGTCACCCCATGCTTCATGTCTCCATTTCACCCATAAAATTTTAGTTCACTTGGTGTAATTCAAGATTATTTTCTTTAAATCAACACTGCACTGCATTATATATTGTCAATATGTCAAATAAACTTCAGAATGACCAATAAGTGTACTGTAAAAACGTAAAAATAGTTTATGTTCAAGAGTCTCGAGCAAGATACTTCCTCCACTGAGCAGGGACACAAACTGACGCCATTCTAGGCGAGTCAAGTGGCTGTTTGGCGAACTAAAAACTAGTTCCCTGTACTTCAATTATGTTAAATAATTGTTAAAATGACTAAAAAATTTAATATAATACCCGTACTTGGAAAATTATTGAATAGTACAACCTTCTTGATATTTACCCAAATGGTAACGATTTTAAGCCCTAAAACCGATTACTGTATTGGCGGACTAATACTACAGCTGGTGAACAGCCGAAAACAGACGAAAACATGTTGGGATAATTCGTAAGGAATTCGTTAACCGAGGCGTTTGTTAACCGAGGCGTTCGTTAACCGAGGGACCACTGTATCAGTACAAAACAATTAAACAACACTCACCACATCATAATGGACAAGTCTGGTCATCATCACATACAGACATAACACAAAGTTCATAACTCTATTAATCTTAGCTTCACTTCATTCTGCATTGTCTTATTACTCCAGGTTAGGCAGAAACGAGTAGACGTAATTAGTTAACAATATTTCAGTACCGAGTGGTATGTCATCACTTATGCTGTACTTACAAGTGTGGGTCAATGTAGATCAGTACTGTATGGTGTTCCAAGAGACAACAGTACTGCGTAAATTGTCTCGGTACAAATTCTTGGACAGGATTGAGTCGGTGTTTACCAATGCGAGCAGCGGGCTGCTCCTTACAGCATCACTCGAGAGAGCGATCTCCTGGAGTCCAGGCGGCCATGCCACCCTTTAAACCATACCTTTAGCGGAATCAGGACCTCTTGTCTGTAAACACTGCCCACCCCCCAATCTTTGTTCGGGTAAGGCAGCAGACGCCAGCACTCACACGCCAGTACTCACTCGTCAGTACTGACGCCAGCGGTGGTAACACTCCCGGCGGTGCCGAGTCTGGCGAGGTCACAGGTCGCGGGGATTACTCGGAAGACGATCTGCGTCATGAGAGCCACGCCACCCTAAACTATACATTCAGTAAATTCAGGATCTCTTGTCCGTAAACACCGCTCCCCCCAACCGCCAATTTCTGACAAGGCAACAGCAGGTTGAGAGATCCAATGTTTGTTTGGGCAAGGCAGCGATCGTCAGCAACTGACACCAGCATAATAAGTCCGCGGCGATAACACTTAACCTTTGTACAGGTTAGGAAAGGTTAAGTAAGGCTTTCAAAGGGTTTTTTGTTAATTTTTTATTTCTTTTTATATTTTACCTCACATTTTCCCTTTACTTCAAAGCCCTGCCCACTTTGGACATCCAATATTGTTGGTATTTGGGGGCTATACATCCATAATGGCTTGATTGTGACGGAAATGAACATCAGATTCGCTTGAAACACTGCAAAATACACAAGGTAAACTTATTTTTGGTACAGGTTGACAACCCTTTGTCCGAAAACCGAAAAGCTCTAGAAACTGAAAGTTTTTTTGTGGAGCATTTTTTTTTTTTTTTTTTTAACAGGGATTAGCCCACCCAGGCATAGATCACTGATCCACATCGGGGCCTGGGGGGCAAAAATGTAATAGTAATACTAATTATAATAATAATAATAAATATAATAATAATAATTATTCATAGTAAATAAAAATTTTAATTAAAAAATACACCAAAATAAAATAATAATGATAACAATAATACTGTATTAATAAAATAATAATAATAATAATATTAAAGAAATACAAAAATGAAAAAAAGATAAAACGTGAGTAACACGACCTAGACCTATGAATTATTATTATTACCGGTATATATATATACAGTACTGTATTTACAAAAATACTTATAATAAAAATGTAAAGCAACACTACCACCAGAAGGAACTCTTAGATTTTGTTAATTTTTACCACAGATCTTCTTATCATTATAGTAAATATTTTAAAAGAGGCAACAACTTTTTATTTTCATTGTAATTTTTTCTCTCTCTATGATCATAAATGACCTTCAGTAGGCAAGCCATGAAGGATGAGAGATTGGAGTGCCTGAACTTGCCTAGCTTATACTACAGACGGGCAAGGGGGGACCTAGTTGAGGTTTATAAGCATCTCAGGGGGCACTACTCAGTTGAGTGTCCTTACTTGGAGCTGGCGGACGCTCGCTCCACAAGGGGTCACAGCTCAAGATTGAAGAAGCCACAAGTCCAGAAAACTGTGAGGGCAAACTTGTTCGGAGTGAGAGTTGTGAACTCTTGGAACAATCTACCAGAAAGTGTTGTGACGGCACCGAGTGTGAGCTCTTTCAAGACAAGACTTGACCAACACTGGAGCGGGTTCAGGTACATTCAGGAGCCGGTGCATGCCCAGTACTTACTAACAGTGCGTAACAGAGACATGACCGATCGCCCAAACAGCTAACGAGCCGATCAGTGGTGAAGAGGATAAAAGTAAAAGTAATGCCCTTAACAAATTGGTTTAACATGTCATTAAAAATGGGTGCAGTACCAGAATCCTGGAAGATAGCAAATGTGATACTGATTTTCAAGAGAGATAGATCACTATCCTCTAACTACTGCCCAATCAGTTTAACATCAATTGTAGGCAAATTGCTGGAAGCAATAATTTCACACTCTATTTGATATCACATGGAGAAGCACAAGTTACGAATGTGAATCATGGTTCATTGATGAAGTTCTACTAACAAAATCTCAAAAAATTCGTCCTTCATACTGATTGAACCCTCAGTATTCACTCATTCACACTCTTCATATTTCAGAGAACCAAAAAGAGACATAAAAGCAAATCTCAAACTCATTCCTGAACCTCTAGTCAGCTACTTGTTTGAAGTGTGCAAGGTGGGCCAAATTAGTAATGTGTGGGCCCAGTTGGTTATTTAAAATGGGCCGAGTTGGCTAACTGGGTGGGCTGAGTTGGAGGTAGTACACCGTTTAAGCATCTCAAAGGGCACTACTCAGTTAAGTATCCTTACCTGGAGCTGGCGGACACTCTTCCCACAAGGGGTCACAACTCAAGATTGAAGAAGCCGCAAGTCCAGAAAACTGTGAGAGCAAACTTTTTTGGTGAGAGAATTGTGAACTCTTGGAACAATCTGCCAGAGTGTTGTGACGGCACTGAGTGTGAGCTGTTTTAAGACCAGACTTGAACATCACTGGAGCAGGTTCAGATACATTCAGGAGCCAGTGCATGCCCAGTACTTGCCAACAGTGTGTAACAGAGATGTGACCGATTGCCCAAGTGGCTAACAGTGGTGAAAAGAATAGAAGTAAAAGTAGAGAAAATGAATTTAAAAATACCGCAATTTCACTGTGTTTTATAGTGGACACTGTCATAGTTATGGAAATGTGTTAAAATGTGTTAAATTAAAAGTTAAAGTTAAGTTCACCTAACATCACCTGCCGTGGGCGAACTTACTGTTACCGAGATGGGGGGGGAAGCGGCTGTAAAGTCCTCCATATTAGCCCTAGTTTTTGGCAGTGGATATTTTGCATTGACCAGCTAAGTTCCTATTAACACTATTTTACTGTGAGTGCGCTGATTGGCTTATCATCCATTACTTGCGCACAACGAGAGAAAACTGTATGTGACCGTGACTCTGGCGGCATTTGGCATATATTTTGCCGTGAGTCCATCGTTGTGTAGCTATACACATACCTAACCAGAAGGAGTTGCTAGGGTGAATTTATAATAAAGCACCGTTTTTTTCTCGCTCTTATTAATATGTATTTTGTAATGTTTGGACAATTTTAAAAAAATTTTCTTCTTTGATATTTCTGCCGGAAATTAAGGATAACCGAGATATTAATTTTTCAATATTGTTAGATTTGGTCGGTCACAAGTGTCGCCATGTGTTGTTTACTTTTTGCGGAGAAGGTCTGACCCCCCCCCCCTCTCACGCAGTGCTCCTTATCCCCGTCTTCCCTTCTTAAGCGTCTACAGCGCATATGTGGAGGGTGGTGTGGGAGTTTCTTATTGGCTATAGCGATAGGAGACTTATTATTGGGCAAGAGTTTTTGTCTTAGCCAATAAACACTGCGTGGGTGGGTAGGGAGCGGAGATTTGAATTTTCAGTACCAGGTATGGCTGAACAGGTGGAAGAGCTGTGCCGGCATTGTGATAGAGATTATTTTACGTCAATTGCCGAGTTTCATCAGAAAAATTGTGAGGCAATTTCTTTTTTTTAGAAAACACGGTGTATTACCGAACAACATTATTTG